TACAAAAAAAAAAAAAAACCTTCAAAATGCAAAAGTAAGGTAATCACAAAATTTACATGACTTGGTAATTGCACAATTTTCACAGCATCCCTCTTTTAAATAAAAAAATAATATTTAAACTGACTGTTAGCAAACCTGACTAAGATTTTAAAAAGTGCTTTACAGTTTTTTTTTCTCGACAATCCAAGAAATGTAACATGACAGCCTGACTCTTTTGCTGGTTGCTGTAAAGATGTTTTAATGCCTCATACTGGTGCGTAATCCTCCGCTGTCATTCTTCTCTGCTGCTTTGCTGAACATTACTTTTCCTGCCTCTGTTACCATGAGAACGGATGACAAGGACAGAGCTGACTTTTTTTTTTCTTTTTTGCTGTCATCATTCTTCGATAACCCCAAGTGGTCCATATGTGTGCCCCACTTCAAACCAGCCGGCGGCAATCAATTCTCACATCAAAACTTAATTTGACGTGAGATTACAGACTAAATATTTCATGCATCTTCTTTCCAAAAACTCTGAGTTTCAGCATCACCAAAATCTTTGGTGTTCAGACACATTTTGCTCATAACTCATTTCCAAAAAACAGATCAGCATTCATTGTGAGTGATGATGATGATGACGTATCTAGCCTAAAAACTCTAGCATCAGCAATAGCAAACACCCTTGAATGCTCCCACCTAAGATCCATCATTTACCCTGCAGTTGAGTGACTCTCTTGGGCCTAATGCACCAGCTGAACACCTCTATTGCGAAAACACATCCATATCTTGTGTTTGCATGATGTTTTGTTACCTAACAATCATTTGCATGCAAATAACGGCAGTAAAATGTGGTTGATTTAAATTAATTGCTTTTACTAGCAAATTGATTACTTTATTTGAGATTTTTGTAGACTTGTAGACAATTTATAGCATCCCCTTAAGCAACTTGGGTTTATGTGCCTTGCTCAAGGGCATATCGGTGGTAATCTCAGCCTCGGTCTGACCGTTCACTGACCGTCTGATGAATATTGCACATAAAACCGGAAAGCACTTTTAAAGCCTAGTAAACTCTAAACTGATTGGCTGACTTTTGGGCTATTTCCATGAGTAAAAGCACACACACTCTAAACCTATTACTGATGTGGTATGTTTTTAAATCTTTTACAATTTTTTTGTGTCTAACAGGTCCACTTTTGTCCTTAAAAATACCTAAAAAGTACAAATGTGTACACCGTCGTACATTAAAGGGCACCTATTTTACCCCTTTTTCAAGGTGTCAGTAGTTAAAATGCTCAAAACACCCATCAGATTATTTATTATATCTTTCGGATGTTGAAATGTTCTGCTCTGATCACAATGTAGCTGTTTTTGTGGCCTGTGCCTTTAATGCTATAGTTCTCCTCGGACACCGTTCCCAAATGCCTATTAGAGTGTCCCTTAATCTCCACCTCAGCTGCGTCAGATAAACATCACAGTGACAGACATGAGGGAAGCAGATCTCAAGTAATGTTTGCGAGAAATACTACAGTAAGAACTTTCCCAATGATTATTTGTTGTGAAGTTAAATCAAGCCTTTCTGCAATGATGAGTCACACGCAGTGTCATTACAAAGTTCACGCACACACATAGACACACACACAGCATGCGTGTTTAACTTCGCACTGTTTTTGCATGGCAAATGTTAAATGATACATGTTAATATCCACTGCTGTATGGATAGGTGCCCTTTAAAGGTATAACTTTTTAACTTAAAGGTAAAAAAGCGTACTTTTAAAGTAGCAGTATGCACCTATTAGGTACAAAAGTTGTATCTTTTGAAAAGGCCCTAGTGACAGGTTTTGTAACATTATTTGTAAAAGTTTTCTTATCAGTGTTACTGGAAATAAAGATACTTGTCTGATATGTTATGTTGATTGATTATAATGACTGAATTTATAAGGAAAATAATATATTTTAAAGTCTTACACAACTCTTTTTTACATAAAGGTGAAATTCAGAATTGTTAGCCTTGAAGGGGCTTATAATTTTTTTCTTAAAATGTTTTTTTTTTTTTTTAAACTACTTTTATTCTAGCCAAAATTAAACAAACAAGACTTTCTCCAGAATAAAAAAATATTATCAGACATGCTGTAAAAATTTCCTTGCTCTGTTAAACATCATTTGGGAAATGCTTAAAAAAATAATAATTCATAGGGATGCTAATAATTCTGGCTTCAACTAAATCTGTATTCATGGTGGCCTTACAAAAGTTATTTCTCAGTTACAGATTTTGAAGGAAACTCTTGACATTTACTATGTCAATAAGAAATAAAAATGTTCTAAATGTTTTAAATAAAATAATATAGTTGAGTATTCACAATAGTATAATTAAAAGTCACAATTTTTACTTTTTTTTCTTGCTGTTGTTTGTTCCCACTGTTACGACTTTTCATCTTTACAAACGTTAATCTCTGTTGCAAGTTTACAGTATATTTCAAACTTTATCTGACAACACCAATCCAGCAATCTGATCAAAAGCAGACAACACTAAATACAGGTGTAAATGTTTCTGTTCTAAACACTTCCAGATAAAGTTGAAATTTCGGCTCGATTTCTTTTGTAGTGTAAACACTTACAGTGCCACAAAAACCATAAAGTCTTTCACTTTAGCTTCCATAACCTGCATTTTTTCATTTACGTGTTTAGCAAAAGTGATTTACTGTAGGTAGGTGTGAAAAAATAATGTAGAAGTTACCCATCAAAATTGAAACACAAGTCACAAGAGCACATTAAATATGCATATTAAAGAGCCAGTTCATGTTCAGACTCCAGAATGAAAATTTTCTCATAATTAACTCACACCTTCATCATCAAAGATGCCAATTTCTCTCTTAATTCAAAACAAAAATTAAGATTTTATAAGAAAACGTGCAAGATTTTTCCTCTATGGCGCTCGGTGGTTTGAACTTTCAAACTGCAGTTTCAATGCAGCTTCAAAGGACTCTAAATCAACCCAGATGAGGAATAAGATTCTTTTAATCATTTTCTTTAAAAAAATCTATTTGAATACTTGCATCCAAGAGCAAGTATGAGATAAGATTTTGTGGTAAAAAGTATATAATTTTATTTTTTTATTCTTTTGAAAAATGACCAATTGTTTTGCTATAGGTAAGACCTTGCTCCTTGTTTGGGATCATTTTGAGCCCTTTGATGCTGCATTTGAAAGTTCAAACCAATATATTGAGAAAAATCCTGCATGTTTTTAAAAACCTTCATTTCTTTTTGACTGAAGAAAGAAATAAATGAAAGGGATAATAGGAAGGTGGAAACCTATGAAAGAATATAGTCACTGGTTTATAGCTTTCTTCAAAATATCTTCTTTTGTGTTTAGCAGAAGAAAGAAACTCAAGCAGATTTGGAACAGGTTAAGGGTGAGAAAATTATGACAGAGTTTTCCATTTTGGGTGCCACTTTAACGTTCATGCATTCATTTTCTGCTTAGTGCCTTTATTAATCTGGGGTCGCCACTGCGAAATGAACTGCCAACTTATCCAGCATATATTAATTAAGCAGCAGATGCCCTTCCAGCTGCAACCCATCACTGGAAAACACCCATAACACTCCTATTCACACACACATATACTACGGACAATTTAGCCTACCCAATTCACCTATAGCGCATGTCTTTGAACTGGAAGCCCACATGAACATGGGGAGAACATGCAAACTCCACACAGAAATGCCAACTGACCCAGCCGTGGCTCGAACCAGTGACCTTCTTGCTGTGAGAGGATCATGCTCTTGCTGCGCCACCGTGACACCCTTCATTTTAACATGTTGAAATGGTAATGCTGACCTGATGCATCTGATGTCATAGGGATCATCTTAACCTGAAAACAGGATAAACTTGCAATTCTGTCAGAAAAAGAATCAGAATTAAAACATATAAACCCTTGCGCGATGGCTAAAAATAATACCTTTAGCCTTGAAAATTCCGTGTTTAGTTTTCACAGTTCTGAATGGTGAAAAAAATGTGAGAATGTTGTGCAATATTAAATGAGAATTGCAAAAAAAAATGTAACAATTGTAAAACAAGTCAAAACCAGTTTTATTTTCTTTATCTCTCTTTTATTTTGTATACACTTCATCAATGCCCACTTGAAAGAGAAATTTATAGTATATGCATTTATGATCCAACCTATAAAGGGTATTCTATACAATGTTACCACTTTATTAATGAATGATTGACCTACAATATAGGCTACTGTAGTAGTAACTATAGTGAAGTGATAAATTAATAAATACTGTACTGTATTTATTTTTATTGTGTAATACTGTAGTTGGAGCGACACAGCGGCACAGTGGGTGCACTGTTGCCTCACAGCAAGAAGGTCACTGGTTCGAGCCTCTGCTGGGTCAACTGGCATTTCTGTGTGGAGTTTGCATGTTCTCCCCGTGTTCGCATGGGTTTCCTCTGGGTTCTCTAGTTTGCCCCACAAGTCTAAAGACATGCGCTATCGGTGAATTGGGTATGTTAAAAAAATGTCCATACTGTATGAGAGTACGCGGATATTTCCCAGTACTGGGTTGCAACTGGAAGGGTATCTGCTGCGTAAAATATATGCTGGATAAGTTGCCGGTTCATTCCGCTGTGGCGACCCCAGAATAATAATGAGACTAAGCCAAAAAGAAAATGAATGAATGAAAGAATGAACCAATGAATGAACCAATGAATGAATGAACCAATGAATGAATGAATGAATGAATGAATGAATGAATGAATGAATGAATGAATGAATGAATGAATACTGTAGTTGTACAAAACTACATCTGTGGGTAATTTTTTCTTTCTTACTATAGCTATAACTATTTACCACAGCAACTTAAAATTACCACAGCATATACGTTCAAGCACTTTACTATAGTATGGTTCAAAAACACTATAGTATTTTCCATTAAACAATTACCCCTGATGACGCTAGTTTAATGCGCTTCTCTCCGACGCTTTACGGTAATGGGTGGACTTTTGTTGTCTGCTGGAGCTGGAGACAGACAGCTGAGAGTGAACAGCCGTGTATGTGTGTGTATATGTATGTGTGTGTGTGTGTGTGTGTTTGCTGCTTCACATTCAGACGCGCTGCACAAGCGTCTCGTCCAGAAACCCAAGACGACAACCGAGAGGACTCACTTGGATTACTGACAGCAGGTCCCGACACAATTTTCTCCTGAGAAAACTTGCCGGCGTTTTTCCTCTGTTAGGGTAAAAGCAAAAACATCGCATTTTCACCTTTATAAAAGCAGCAGTCTTCTCGGAAGGGGCCGCACCTTCAGCTGATCAGCATCCAGGTAGGTTTACGAAAGTTCATGTGTTTCATCGAGGCAAAGACCGTTGGTCTAAAATGCGAAATATTAGTGAACGAAATGGGTTATTTTGACAAGCACTGATTAGAGTAGCGATAGTCTTTAGACGTGAATTGTAATTGAATTATGTTCATCACAACACCATTTACTCCTTTGATGAACTTTTTGTGCAACAGCATCCCAGGGGTGGATGTTTTAATAAAACATCTGTCAGATGTGAGAGTGTTTGTATTAAAGGATAGCCTATAGTTTAGTTGAGAAATGCATCAATGCCTAATAAAGCTTTGTGCGCTCTGTTGGTCCATTCAGCTTCTCAAATGACAAGCTCTTGATGTTTATTACGCTCAGGTATTTCAATAAAAGAATCTGTGATGCGTAGATATTAATAGTTTTTTCCTTTTTTGCATTGCTTTATAACATTCATTTCCAATAGTTGGTCGTGACATTGAGCATTAGAAATGTTTCTGACGTAATAAGCTACTTATTCCCTGCCATCAGTTTTATAATCTCGCTGTGGAAAGGTACAAAAGTCTTTCATTCCTCTATTAGTTAATAATTTAAATGATTAGATTTATGATAATCACTGTTATTATCTCTTATACTTGTTTCAATGTGTTGTTATGTTGTACTGCACACTTGAACACTGTTGTCAATTGTTGTGCCACTTAAAAGAAAAGGAGACATATAAACTAAACATTTCCCTGAAATACTCTCTCACAAACGTTTTATTGTGAAAATGATGACACGTTGTCACTTCGCAGTCTCCAATTTATTGGTAAAACAAAGCTTAACAAAACAGTTATTACTATATTAGTAAACTGTAAAATATAAGTTAAATAATCAAAAAATCAATTTTCTTAAACGGGAGAAATATTTTCATATGAATATTTTAGTTAATGTTCCCCAATTAATTACTTAATTTGAAGATAATTAATATATAACCTATAAAAATAATACTTGCATCTCATTATGGTTGAATGTCTTTTTGCTAGGTCAGTTTCTGTCTAGATTGTCAGGCATTCATTCATTATTTTCTTGGGTCATGATCAGGTAATCTGACTCGATTTATCCTGGATCAGCAGGCAACGTCAGCAACATCCGAGTTCACTCGTTTCTTTTTGTTTTCCTCTTGCTGATGTAGTGCACTCAACCAGCATACACTATTTGGGGATTAGTGAATGAGGGAGCGAGTGGGCGATTTTGAACACAGCTTAAGTCAATAAATCTCTAGAGTTGCATTTTAGGTTTATAGGCATATTCCAGATTGGCTCATCTGACGGCTAAAAAGCTCTCTGGGTAGACCGATCAGAGATGCAAGAGGCTAAAGAGGCTCTGTTCCTGGATCTGTTCCCACTTATGGTCCTTCTTGTCCATATTTTCGCAGCAATGTCTAAGTATGGAAAATAATTGCCTTGCACCTTGTCTTCTGGGCAATTAATTAAATTGAAACAGTGTCTTTTGAATGTGCTGCATGCTGATAAAGGACCGTGTTTAATCTGAGCCTTATCTGTCTGAACATAAACAGCTTCGCTAAAGCTCATAATAAATTAGTCTGCAAATCCTCCTCGACTGTGGAGAACATAGAAAGTTTAAAAAAAGGCATCTTATCGGTCAATGTGCTAGCTTATTAGCATGATGGTGTTATCATAGGTAAACTGCTTTTGAGCACAATAAAGATTATGGTGGATAAACACTTATTAACCTATAACCCCTTTAAACTGAACCCAACTCTGCTGATTAAATGCTTGGCAGTCACCAAATGAAGCTTGTTAGATAAATGCCAACCATTCTTGACACTTGATTTCAGTTCCTCTTCTTTTTGACCGTTGTTTGCAGTATTTTTTGGAGTAACGTTCTTTGCAGCAGAAGCATTTTTTAGGCTATAATCCTATTCAGAAATAACATTAGTAAGTAAAACACCATGCTTGCTTGAGACAGCAAGTACTGGAATTAGCACTTCATCTCAGTCTATGAGGCCTTTAGAACCTCATAACTAATTTGACATGATGAGATATACTTTCAGCCTGCCAAGGGCTCCATTTTAGCGAAAAGGCTTTGTCTTTCAGTTTTCCCTACTTCATTCGTGAAAGCTGTAACATTGAATTTCAACACTGGAGGGTTTGATGTTTCCCTAAGTGAGTCTGGGCTCTTGTCCTGCTGACCTAGGCTTTCTCCTGTATAATCCAACTCATGTAATTAAACACAATTTGATTAGTGGGCTGAAAAGACACTGTTGCTGTGGTGGGGGAGTTGCATAGTGCAAACATACTATATATGTGGCGGAATTTAATACTTTTGCGTGGGTTTTCTCAGTAATGTGCGTGTGTGCTGTGCATAATTAGGAAACAAAGTGTATTTTCTACTATTAGAAGGGATGCAGTGATAGCAGTCTATTGACGACTTTCAAAAGGGCAGTTCCTAGAACTAAAGGCAGAAATATGAGATTTTGTTGCGCTTTATTTGCCATTTATTTAGATTAAATATCTTTAAATTCAAAGCACGGTATACACTCCCCGGCCACTTTATTTGGTACACCTGTTGAACTAGTCGTTAATGCAAATTTCTTATCATCCATCACATGGCAGCAACTCAATGCATTCAGGCATGTAGACATGGTCAAGACGATCTGCTGCAGTTCAAACCGAGCATCAGAATGTGGTAAAAAGGTGATTTAAGTGACTTTGACCGTGGCATGATTTTTTGGTGCCAGATGGGCTGGTCTGAGTATTTTAAAAACTGCTGTTCTACTGGGATTTTCATGCAAAACCATCACTAGGGTTTATAGAGAATAGTCCAAAAAAGAGAAAATATCCAGTGAACGGAAGTTCTGTGAGTGCAAATGCTTTGTTGATGCCAAAGGAAAATGACCAGACTTATTCGAGCAGATAGAAAGGCAACAGTAAAGCAAATAACCACGCACTGCAACCAAGGTATGCAGAAGAGCATCTCTAACCTCACAACACGTTGAACCTTGAGGCGGATGGGCTACAGCAGCAGAAGACCACACTGGTTATCTAAGAACAGGAAACTGAGGCTACAATTCAAACAGGCTTACCAAGGTTTGTCAGTAGAAGACTGGAAAAATTTGGTTGAACGGGAGATTTGCATAAGGGATGTGCAGCTGACAAATCTGCAGCAACTGTGTGATGCTATCATGTCAATATGAACCAAAATCTCTGAGGAATATTTCCAGTTCCTTGTTGAATCTATGCCACGAAGGATTTAGGCAGTTCTGAAGGCAAAAGGGTGTCCAACCTTTTACTAGTAAGGTGTACCTAATTAAGTTGCCGGTGAGTTAAATCTAGCCCAATAGGAACTACAGTGGTGTAAGTGTACAGGAAGCACCGGCACAGTATTTTAAAGTGTTACAAGACACACATTCAGAAAGCTAATTTTAGCACCATTTATGTGTTGCCTTTGTCTGTGGCATTGTGTTCTTTTCTAAGCCTCTCTGATTTGTAGCACTACAAGTAGGTAATTTAGTCTTCCTTTTTGCTATTTTAATCACATAACATACGCCTATATTCCATCTTCATTACCACAAAACACACAATGAAAACAGCTTTCATCAAAGTGTCCTCTACTCCAGTTGTTGAATACAGTGCTTGATGTCACCGTCGGCAGGCTGAAGTCACTGAAGAATTTATAGTGATTGTGTGAATGCAACCACAAAATTGTCTAGGGTAGTTTGTTTTCGTGGAAGTGGGTCTAGTGGTTAGTTCTTATACCTAAGTTCTTGTAACCAAATGATGCAAACCCCTTATATAATTTTCTCTCCATTAGGGCTTCACAATATGTTGTTTCAACATCAATATTGCAATGTGTGCATCCACTATAGTCACATCATAGGATCTGCAATGTTGAATCGGGATTATAAGTAACCACATTTTAAAACGTATGATGTGTGAACTCATTGAAAAGTTCAACAGAGTGAAAGATTTTCATTTAGAAATGTTTAGTCATTTAGTTATGTTTTTCAAGCTAATTTAAACCCTTTGGCCACAAGGAGTTATGGCTCTATTGTAATCATCTATGCTTGTAATTAGTTTATTATGTTTTATGTTTTAAAGGGATGAATTCTTTCCAAATAGAGTTTTTTAAAAGGGATAGTTAACCCACAAATTACTATTTATTATTTACTCTCCCTCAAGTGGTTATACACCTTTATGAGTTTCTATCTTCTGTTGAACTGAACACAAAAGAAGATATTTTAAAGAGAGTTGAAAACCTGTAACAATTGACTTCAATAGTAGGAAATACAAATACTATGAAAGTCAATGGTTACAGGTTTTCAGCTTTCTTCAAATTATATTGTTTTGTGTTCAACAGATAAAAGAAACTCAATCAGGTTTTGAACAAGTGCTAACTGTCCCATTAAGTTATTATATTATATTATATTATATTATATTATATTATATTATATTATATTATATTATATTATATTATATTATATTATATTATATTATATTATATTATAATATAATATAATATAATATAATATAATATAACCGGGGTGGGTTGCGGCTGGAAGCGCATCCGCTGCGTAAAAATGTGCTTAAAAAGGTGGCTGTTCATTCCGTCGTGGCAACCCCGGATTGATAAAGGGACTAAGCCGGAAAGAAAATGAATGAATGAATGAATATTATATTACTGTATATTGTATTATTCATTCATTCATTTTCTTGTCGGCTTAGTCCCTTTATTAATCCGGGGTCGCCACAGCGGATTGAACCGCCACCTTATCCAGCAAGTTTTTTGCGCAGCGGATGCCCTTCCAGCCGCAACCCATCTCTGGGAAACATCCACACACACATTCACATTCACACACACTCATACACTACGGACGATTTAGCCTACCCAATTCACCTGTAACACATGTCTTTGGACTGTGGGGGAAACCGGAGCACCCGGAGGAAACCCACGCGAAGGCAGGGAGAACATGCAAACTCCACACAGAAACAGCGACCCAGCGACCTTCTTGCTGT